TGGCACATGCAAATCATCAGCATCTGGACAAGGTTAAACACAACTGTACCACTGCCTCATCTCAGTAGATCTACACAAATTAGAGTCTCAGGAGACTTAGGTCAGGCAACAGTCTGTATTGTAGCCACAGAAGAGAATCAGCACATTTCTTCCTGTGGGTGGAGCAGACCACTGATCTCATTGAGGATAAAAGTCCCTTTTCTTTTTATTTCTTTATCTGAGACAAGACCTATCCATTAAAAGGTTAGTTCCAGAAATTTATAGACGTTTGCACAACACTCATTTGTCACATGCCTTTATTATCCAGAGCAGGAACTTTGGGAATTGCTCTGATTCACTGATCATCTTTATGTGGCAATTTGTCAGCACTGCTGTCCTGTAATGCGATCCTTAGAGATAAAATAAGAATGTGAAGCTATTACATTGATTAGAAAGTAGTTAAATTTGTGAATTGTGCAGCACAGCCTTGTTTTCTCCTATATCTCTGAATTCCTTGCATCAGCAGACACATAAAAGCAAGACATTTTCTTCTCTTCAAACTTGACCAATCTTTTCCACCATCCTAGGGGTGTGTATAATTTATAATGTCCATTATTGAGGTCTTCATATTCCTTCTGGGTTTTAAACATTTTAACCAAAGCTAAAGAGATTCTTCTTGAAAAGAAAAATAAACTCGGGATATACTGAAGCCTACTGAGTTGCCTAAACCTACATATGTTCCTTTCATTTGGTGGTCTCTTCTATTTGAGAAGAGAATACTGTGTTTAACAGCTGGGTTAAAGACATTGGGCCCAAGTAGAGCGAGTAGAACCATGGAAAGGAAGATCATGTTGGAATTTTTTAATAGAATCCAGGAGCCAGCAGTACATGGAAATGTCATTCATATTGAGAGGAGGCAACATGGGCTTAGAAGCAAGAGTGAGGAGAGCTGATTGTCTATGCCAGGGAGAAAGCACATTGCTGGCTGCATTGAAGGTGCTGAGGTGGAATGAGACACGAAGACATCCATATGGGCCTGTGCAATTGTCAGGGCCCACAAGTCACTACTGCATGGGATGCAAAGTTGACTCATCTCAGCAGTGTTATGCCAGTCTGAGTAATATATGAGCAAATATGTGAGGGGGTTGTATACTATTATCATGTAAGTGACAGTGACAGCTGGTGTTTCTCATCATCCAAAAAAGTTGATCATATGGCTAAATTCATGAGGGATCAATGGAGCCGATAGTCATACTCTTGAGGGAAAGAATTGTAATCTAACTACAGGAGAACTTTGTCTAAGAATGTATTTCAGAATAACCTATTGCTGTGCATGCAGGTGGAGAAATCACCATAAACTCACACATATATTTATGTATAAGACTAGATTAATGAATGTGTGGATGGATAATTTTTCACAGCCTAGAAGTAATGATGCTCTAGTTCAATGAATAGATAGCACCATCACTAATGCACCTGTAAACTTTCTCCAATAAATGAAACAAGTGACCCTTGTGGAAATAATTGATTTTTTTTATCAAAACTAAGAAAGTGTAAGATAATTTTGGACCATTTTGCGCCAGAAACAAAACAAAAATTCATGGTATGCGAGGTAAAGGAAAAATGGAGAGAATCAGCTAGCACGGTATGCCCAGTGGTCAATTTCAAGGGATTTTGAATACCTTATAAACAGTAATATACACCATTAAATCAATTGTAAATCCTTGGATTCACCATGATATTTTCATAAGAAATGGGATATTCTAAAATTATTAAAAGCTTCACACATTTTCATAAATTGCGAAAGGGAAAAAATTGTTACATAGCAGAGAAATCTAGCAGCCATCACTAGTCTAAAATTGAAATGAAGATCACCAGTAATAATGATTCAAACCATGGGTCTGATAAGAGTCACCATAAAAAGAACAGAGTGGCATTTCTAGACTTTGCTCACATATATGTACAACTGAATATAACCTGGAGGAAAATTGCATGAATCTAGTTTGAGAGATGATCAGAAACATGGCTGCTGTGCAGTCACTAAGAATGATAAGACCATGATTATATCCTGTTTTTTCTTACACAGTAGGATGCAAAATAACATATTCTTCCATTAGAACTCATTCATCATTTGGCAATATTTCACTGGCAGTAGGCAGAGATTTCAGTTTATAGAAGAATAGAGAAACCAAAGGTATTTCAAGGAGGAAGCTCAAACAAAATTTAATCCAAAGGTTCATTTGTTATAGAAAGATAAGATTTTTTCCTACCTCTCTCCTCTGTCCTCCTGTGTCCTACTTCTGTAATTAGGAGAAGGTTTTTCCTTGCTGTTAACAAATTGTAGGACTGTGTATTCTCCTTGCCTCGCACAGGCTTCCATCTACCACTAGGATCTGTTTCTCTCCAT